CATATCCATCAGTTCACACTACACCACCTCTCCCAGAGTACTTGGTGTGTTGGATAATTGGAAATCTAGCTTTTTTGATATTTTCCCCGAAACTAGAGAAGATTAGCCCTTTCAATATCCAACTCTAAGAAGAGCATATTAATGGATAATGAATGGTTCACCTAAGTCTGAATCAGTTTGTTGAGTGCTTTTTCATTTTTTGCAATCACCTTCAAAGTGCAACTATACTCCAGAGGTTAGAGTGATCATGTCTTTAGTTAGCTCCTAATGACACCTCTCCCTCTCTCTAAATAAAACCAAACCTCTCTTTGACAGACCCATCCTTGCTTTGATGATTCCCTTTTCACTGAGTGAAAAAGCTGCCTGGAGGCACCTTCACTTCAGTCTTTGATACAGCCCCTTTTAATTTTTCATGTTTATAGCATCTCATCTAGTTTTTAAAATATTGTTTTAAGCAGGAAGCATTGTTTTCCTGCTTTCATCACCTCTTGCAGAACCAGATGGGGTATGGGTTGGATGTATCATTTCTTCTCCCCCCTCCCCCACCCTGCTGCCTCACTTCAGGCAAGTATGCCCAAAATTTGAACTTTCAAAAATTCAAGGCTCATACAGAAACTTTCCATCTTTCTGCAACGTGATTTCCCATTATGAGGTTTACAATGCGTTTTCCTGAAATGTTTTTTTGATATGTCTAAATCCAGCCTCGGTTATTATTATAATTATTCTCTTCTCTTTATGTTTGGCTAGCTGATTACTTCTTTGATGGTTCCTTGATTGCTTCACTTTGTGTTTATTTGTCCGTGTGTAATGGATGGTATATTTATGGGAGATCTTCCGTTGTCTTCTTGTTTTGATCTTAGTTTGCTGTAACCAAATGTATATGATCTGAGCTTTACTGTTCCTTTGCTTTGATGTGGAAAATTCCCATAAACTATTATTAAAATGAAACTGTTCAATTAACAGTCAACTAATCCAAGTGATGTCTTCCTAAACAGCATTTCTGCTACCTCCATGTTTGTGTGTTTACAAACTCTGGAAAGAAATGTCTCGTAAGTCCAGGTTCACGGATACTTAGTGTCAGACATCCAACTCATTTGTGAACAAATGCTGCAGACGACTAACTTCCTGGAAAAAATCTGGCTTTAAGTTACCATATATTGCAACCAATGTTTAACAGTAGTATGGTGGCAGTGATAGCCTATTTCGTATTTATCTGGTTGATGGTCTGATGAACCATGTTGGGCACATTTATTGCTGGTGGCTAATGGCATCAACCTTGACTATATTTTTGTTAGTCTTCACAGTAGCTGCTCTCTTTGAGAAGTTCCTTTGGAATTCAGTGAACAGCTCCCCATTTGATTTCACGAACAGTGGACTGTTTACCTGTTTTTCTTTCTGTGCACAACTTGCAAACATTTATTAGACCAAATGATCAGTTAACAGTGAATCAAGAAAGGATGGAGTATTTTTCAAAACTCACACTGACCATTTAAAAGTAAAAACAATGTGTTTCCTTGTCACCATTGTCTTTAAAGTAAAATGTCCTGGGAATGCGCTATTCTGACAAATTTGAAAGGATGTCAAAGGATCTTTTGATTGAGAATCTGAAAGTGCTTGTACCTCTGCCCTTATTGTGCTAAGTAATTTGTCAGAGGGGGAAACGACAGCAAGTGGTGTTGGACATTAACCAGTCATCTTATAATAAAAGGCATCAGAAAGAACTGGCTATATGGAGCAATCAAAAAATCGAATTAGATGACATTAAAAATCTCTAACAGTTGTGCTGTACGACATTGAGCAATTGGTACATCAGGCATAAGGTCCGTATAGTTAAAGCTATGGTTTTCCCAGTAGTGATGTATGGAAGTGAGAACTGGACCATAAAGAAGGCTGGTCGCAGAGAATTGATGCTTTTGAATTATGGTGCTGGAGGAGACTCTTGAGAGTCCCATGGACTGCAAGAAGATCAAACCGATCCATTCTCAAGGAAATCAGCCCTGAGTGCTCACTGGAAGGACAGATCGTGAAGCTGAGGCTCCAGTACTTTGGCCACCTCATGAGAAGAGAAGACTCCCTGGAAAAGACCCTGATGCTGGGAAAGATGGAGGGCACAAGGAGAAGGGGATGACAGAGGATGAGATGGTTGGATAGTGTTTTCGAAGCTACCAGCATGAGTTTGACCAAACTGAGGGGGGCAGTAGAAGACAGACGTGCCTGGCGTGCTCTGGTCTATGGGGTCACGAAGCGTCGGACACGACTAAACGACTAAACAACAATAAACAACAATAGTGGGGCTGTTAGTGAAAGAAGGCTTAGCTGAGTTCCTAACTGAGGACTTCATCCACCCCAATATAACACTCAACAAAACCACTTTCTATAAGCCGACATTATCTACAATCTCCCAGACTAGCTTCCATTTTTCAGATGATGCTTGTTCATTGTAATATACCTAGCGGCTTATTGGTTTGATAGGGAGCAAATGGTCTCTAGGCCTGCTCCTACCATGTTTTCTTTCTGTTTGATTTCTGACTGGAACATCTTCAGAATTCCTTATGTAGCTGAAGTTTTGCAACATCCTCAGACTGCTCACAAAGTACAGCAGCAACATTTATGATGTTGACAGGGACCATCCCGAGAAGTAACCAATGAAGACGCAGGTTTTGTTTTTAAAGCTCATTTGCATTGCCATTGATGTATGTTACCATCCTATAAGACAACTGGCAGAATGAATTAGGAGTCAATGGAGTGGGATTTTTCTTTAGTTAACAGTAATTGGCCATATTAATTTCAGTTGCCAGACTTTAAAAGAAACCACTTAGAGAAGCCTAAGGTGAAAGTAACAATCTGCCCCAGCACTCCATCAAACTCTGGTCCTAGTTGCGACAAGCCTCATATTTCAACTCTTGCATACTCAGAGTTTATTTATAAAAGACATGGGAGAAAAGCTCTATGTACAATCTGCCATATTTAAAAGAAGTCATCACATGTGCTTGCAGTTTGTATTGAAATGTGGAACTGCAGGGCAGGAGGAAATAGCTTGTGTGGACAAGCTGCTGCCTTCCTTATAGAAACTCTTGTTTTCACCCCAAAGACTGATATCTAGCTTTGAGGGCCTTCTGGTGCTTCCCTCACTGCGAGAAATGAGGTTTCAGAGAACCAGGCAGAGGGCCTTCTCAGTAGAGGTGCTCACCCTGTGGAACACCCTCCCATCAGATATCAAGGAGATAAGTAGCTATACAACCTTTAGAATACATTTGATGGCAGCCCTGTATAGGTAATTTTTAAAATGTTTTATTCTGTTGCTGCATATGCTGAAAGCCACCCAAAGCGGCTGGGGAAACCAATCAGATGGGTGGGGTACAATTATTATTAACACCAGTCCTGAAAGACCTTCATTGGCTCCCAGTATGTTTCTGAGCACAATTCAAAAGTGTTGGTGCTGAGCTTTAAAGCTCCAAATGCCCTAGGCCCTGTATACCTGAAGAAGCGTCTCCACCTCCATCGTTCAGCCCGGAGACTGAGGTCCAGGGCCAAGGGCCTTCTGGCGGTTCCCTCACTGTGAGAAGTGAAGTTACAGGGAACTGGGCAGAGGACCTTCTCAGTAGTGCTGCCCACCCTGTGGAATGCCCCCCCCCATCAGATGTCAAGGAAATAAACAACTAGCTGACTTTTAGAAAACATCTGAAAGCAGCTCTGTTTAGGGAAGTTTTTAATGTTTGATGTTTTATTGTGTTATTAATATTCTATTGGGAGCTGCCCAGAATGGCTGAGGAGGCCTGGCCAGATGGGTGGGGTATGAGTAATTTATTATTATTATTATTATTATTATTATTATTATTATTATTATTTCTACAAAATTGGCTTCTGTAAATCCGGGACTGTCCCTGGAAAATAGGAACACCTGGAGGGTCTGAAGTGTTATTTAGATAATGCCAATACCTAATTATAACATTTATTGCTCTTTCAAAAATGCCAGACTGCCTGAAAAGGAACTCAATAATAATATTATTTTATTATTTTTGTAAAGCCATCATAATTCACAAGCAATTGTAACTTTATTATAGTGTCTTCTCACATTTATTTTCAAGTGTTGCTTTTCTCCACAGCAGAGCCAAGAAACAAAGGAAGGGGCATATGGGCTCAGCTATCAAGTATGCATTTGTTCAGCTACAAATAGATAAGTTATTCTAATTCAGTTACTTCCATGCTCTGTCATATTTTGTTCCAACATGTCCTTTATACATACTTTTTCTTAAAAAAAGGAGAAATTACTGCAACAAATTTCAATCAATTAATTAATCTGAAACATTTCTAGCCTGCTGTTCATGAAATCCAATCCCAGAGTATAGTATCAAACATACCAAATCATGTGCCATATAATACAAAATATGATCTTCTTGTGTAAAAATTAAAATGATTGAATCCAAAGTTTTCCTAGTGGAAGTTCCTTCCAACTTTGGATGCAACCCTATATGTTTAGATCAAGACAGGTTGCTCAACCATGTCGCTTTTAACTCAGTAATGGTAGACTCATAGAATTGTAGAGTTTCAAGATACCCCAAGGGTAATAGCTGCCCAGAGTGGTGGGAAAGCCAATAATAATAATAATAATAATAATAATAATAATAATTATACCCCGCCCATCTGGCTGGGTTTCCCCAGCCATTCTGGGCGGCTCCCAACAGAATATTAAAAACACGATAAAACATCAAACAGTAAAAACTTGCCTAAACAGGGTTGCCTTCAGATGTCTTCTAAAACTCAGATAGTTGTTTATTTCCTTGAGATCTGATGGGAGGGCGTTCCACAGTGTGGGCACCACCACCAAGAAGGCCGTCTGCCTGGTTTCCTGTAACCTCACTTCTCGCAGTGAGGGAATCACCAGAAGGCCCTTAGAGCTGGACCTCAATGTCCGGGCTGAATGATGGGGGAGGAAACGCTCCTTGTAGTCTAACTCCCCATAGCGCAGGAATCACAGCTAAAGAATCTAAACCATTAAAGCCTAACATGTTAGCTCAGTTGGTTAGAGCATGGTGCTTCTAATGCCAAGGTTGCAGGCTAGATCCCTGTACGGGACAGCTGCATATAACTGCAATGCAAGGGGTTGGACTAGATTATCCTCAGGGTCCCTTCCAACTCTATGATTCTATTATTCTCCTTATCTTGTACCTCACTGTAGAACAAATCTCCTAGATCTATTTTTTTTGGGGGGGGTATGGGCACTTTGAAACCTTTCTTTAAATTTTAAGCCTATGCGAATAATCTGAAAATGTTAAGAGTTTGCCTTACAAAGGGGAATTAGCTAAACCCAAATTGTAATGCAAGCACTCAACTCTCCCACGCAGAAATCAATAGTACTTAAAAATATTGAACTTTCGCCTGACCACATCCATTATCCACCCCCCTCCCAACACACAATGAAAGATTCCATTGGCTTAGATATGTTACCTTGCCACATACACACTAGTGGCCAAAAATGTGGAAACCTTTTGGGGAAAGTGTATTTCTGTGTTCTGACGGCTCATAACACCTGATTGGCTCTCTAAACACTCATGCTCATTGGCTACATTCAAATGAAGGAAATGAATGTCAACCTAATATCAACCTAAGCAAGTTGTGCTTCCTTTTTCTGGTTATTTGGCTATAACCTTAGATAGAAAGTAGATAATTGAACAAACTTTGCTGCATTACATTCTTCATTAAATTATCTTTCCACTGATGTATAATTTTATGGTATTACTTAAAAAAAGTGGTGTTATGGGCCATCAAACCTCAGAAATACACTTTTCTCAGAAGGTTTCCACAATGACCGCTCCCCACATCAAATGGGGGGGCGGCCTTTTGCATGGTAGCATGCAGCCCCCCAATCCTATGTGGCTCCTGGCAGCACAGCCTGGATTCGCACACACACCCCCCAGGCTGGACACCTGGAGCCTACCTCTGCCAGTTACCCAATCCCAGCTGGGGAGGCATTGCCAGGAGAGAGTTGGCCAGGTAAGGGGAGGTATCGCCCAGCCCACACAATAGTGGGCGGAACTTACCTAGGAGTTCTCTGTCGGCTCCAGAGCTTCTCCCACCCTGCCATCCCTCAGTTAAGCCTTCTTTTGCAGGTTAACCTCTTCTTCACAGGTATGTGGGCGCTGCTATGTTATGGTCGCTGTTGAAGGGCCAGAAAGGAATTTTCCTGCATTGGCAGGTTTTGCTGTCCCCGTAGCAAAAATGCCTCCTTCTCCTCCCCAGTGCACTGCAGTGCAGCAGGATGAAAGGCTCTTGAGGGTTTGGTGCTTGGATGGGAGAGTACTTTGAGGTGTGGGGCTCAATTTTCAAACTCAGATTCCCTTTCTTTTCCTTCCTTTTTACACTTTTTCCTCTCCCTCCCCCCTTTGATAAGATATTTAGATTAATATTTTAATTTGGGGGAAAATATATTTAACAATATGTTCTGTATTTTTCTTTATACTCTGATAAAATTTATTCAAAACAAAGTTAGCCTAGCTCCAGAAAATAAGCTAATTTCTGAGCTAACATGGCATGAGCCGGGGGAAAGTCACTCATCTGTTGTCTTATCTGATAATGGTGGGACGACGGCTAGTTGGAGCAGAGAATTTCAGACCTGTTCCTCCTCCAGCCCAAACAGAAAAGAATCGTGAGCACAATAAGGATGATATCCTTCTGCCTTCAAATATCAGCTAATTGTTCTCCTGAATACTTTCACATTTCGAGGAATGTGGATCTTATAAAGTCTCGCGAGTGACAGCCTAACAAAAGCCAAAATTAGCTTGCACAAGATTACACTTAAAGCCTCAATCAATCTAATTAAATCCATAGAACAAATGTGGAGAATCGGAAAGACTAAAGGTCTTTTGAAGCTGATTTATTATATCCACTTGACCCAGTCTTTGCATTAATGTAACTTCTGTGATTTATAGTGTCTGTCTTGGATCCACAAAGGAAGGAGACGTGTGATTAGCATCTGTGACATTAAGAGAATTATCAAAAAGTACAAAGCCCAAGAAAGAGGCGGGGGAACTGTTGCCTTCAGAGGGGGGAAAAAGCTTTTAAATCTATTTTTAATTTAGCTTTAAATTCAAGATTAACTTCTATCAGCCTATTAGCTCTGTGGAATATTCCTCTGTTTGTGTGGGATTGCAGGCAATTTCATTTGAAAGGAATAACCTTAAAAAAGAAAAGAAAAGGTTTAACATAAACTGTGATCTTTAGTCACTGCAACAGGAATGAGGAACGTGTCACATTCCAGATGTTATTTGACTTCCCCTCAACTCCCATCATCCCTGATCATTGGTCATGATGACTGGATTGGAGAAAGTAACAATCTCTGGAACAAGTAAATTCAGGACCATGATGGAAACAGACTTGTGGGCACCAATATAAAATTCATTTACTTCATTCCCATACGTGTGGAAAACAGTAGCTTAAGGAGAATAGGAATTCCCAGTCATAAATTCTGGGGAAGTGTCAGATCTTTCAAGCGTTTCTTCTGGACAATGTTTGTGTTGATGAAGGCTCTTTTAGCTGAGATGGCATTGTGGGTGGAATAGAATATTCAGATACTAAAGGAACTAAGCTGTTCACATTTGGGTTCTGTGAAGGAAGGGAAAGTTGTCATTGTGTCTGGGATGACACAGGGCCAGATAAATACTGTGAAGAGGACTTGGCCAAAACAACACATGAGACCTTGGGGTTCCCTATTGGTAGGGGGGAAATGAGGAAGGAAAATGCCTCAGGTCTGTTAGTGAGGAAATCAAATAGACATAGAACTATGAGATTTTGAGTCTAAATCAGGACAGAGGCATTCTGAACCATCATTACAGAACTGAGATCCAGAAATCCTATGTAGAAAATGAGGGCAAAAATGGAACAAAAATGTTCCAACAAATCAGCCCATTCTTTCCCTGGAGACTTCTAGACTTTTGGGTATAATGAGACAATGATTAAGTTTGACTTCTGGAGAGTTAGTAGCCAATGGTGTTTCCTCAGTGGAAGGTGATGGTTACAAAATGCTTGCTTAAATAAGTATGATAGGTTTTGATGTCTGGTGGCTACTAGCTACCACACACCTACTGCTTAGGCAGAGGCTGGAGGAACAGTTTGGGCAGTTAAAAATCATCCCATGAAGCACAGCCTGAATTATTGCAGGTGATACGTGGAACCTGTAAAAGGCTGCTTCTGGAATGTGCCACCAACTGGATAAGTAGAGCACATTAAACCATAACAAAATGGAAGGGAGGTGATTTAAATGGAGCTGCCTTTTCTTCTCAGTGGAAATGATGCACAGAGAGTCAGTTTCCCATGGACAAGAAGTTCTATCAGGGAGATGCTCCACTGAGGGCCTACTTCCATCACTCTGGCCCCCTCCCACAGCAAGTGTACAGGCTGTCTTGTGCCCATTTTGTAGGCTGAGCTCCTTATGGAGGTCAGGTGAACACTGATGAGACGAGGCTTTCACAGATAGTTGAAGAATTTTCTGTCTAGTCTGACTTTCCTTGACTACCAATATTTCAAAGGAGGGTTGATTTTGGTTGCTGTAGGAACCACATGTCTTATGATTATCCAGTGTTTTCACTGTTGGATATATATTTTTGCACGTTTAGTTATTTTTTACATATATAGTGAACCACTTTGGGATTTTATAAATGGGAAGTGGTATACATGTTTCAAGAGCAAATAAGACGGGTGGAAGGCGACAGCAGTAGTGGCTCACAGGATCAAAGCGAGCACCAGCAGATGAGTAGTGTTCATCTCAAATCCTGCTTGCAAGCATTCAAGCAGAGGGATTTGCTTAGGCTCTTTTTTGCAAGGAATACGTTGAATAAAATGAAGGCAGCTCCCCACCTTGGCCCATTGAGTGACATTCACCACTGACCCAGTGAATAACAAGAAGAACTGCAAAATACGTTTTCCGATTATATTTGCTTTTAGCATTCTAGTCGAGCAAAGCATTTGCGGAATTAAATTATAATGAGCTACTGAATAGATTCATCAAGAAGAGTCAATAAGGAGGGCCTAGATCTTGGATCTCTCCCATATATTTTACATCTATGTGGTAAATAATTAAGAGCTTTAAATGTAATATTTCTTTAATTGAGAACTATATTTTTTATTAAATGGTTTCTTAATTGGTTTATAAATATTCCATCAAATTGTTTTTCCCGAAATTGATCAGCCTAGTTCCAATGAATAAAATTTGCACCTGCCAACTAAATTCTAATTTGCTGCCTCGTTTAGAGATGGATGTGCCCGCCTTTCATGAAAAAAAAAGAGTTTATCATTTCAGATTTAAAATGTATGTCAATATTTTGGATGAAATAAAGGTAAAGGGACCCCTGACCATTAGGTCCAGTCGTGACCTACTCTGGGGTTGCGGCGCTCATCTCGCTTTATTGGCCGAGGGAGCCAGCGTACAGCTTCCAGGTCATGTGGCCAGCATGACTAACCCGCTTCTGGCGAAACCAGAGCAGCACACGGAAAAACCGTTTACCTTCCCACTGGAGCGGTACCTATTTATCTACTTGCACTTTGACGTGCTTTTGAACTGCTAGGTGGGCAGGAGCAGGGACCGAGCAATGGGAGCTCACCCCGTCGCGGGGATTCGAACCACCAACCTTCTGATCGGCAAGTCCTAGGTTCTGTGGTTTAACCCACAGTGCCACCCGCGTCCCCTTGGATGAAATAGACATAGGTAATTATTTTCCAGGGGCCACAGACGTCCTGAGGAAAAGCAGACGTCTTGGGCTAGTAAGACCAAGTCTCAATGTGCACTCATAGCATATAGCTGCCTGCTCCAACCTGATGTCCTCCAGGCATTTTCAATACAACTCTCATCAGCTTCAGCCAGCATGGCCAATGGTGGGAGATGACAGAGGTTTTGGAAGACATACACAGATTGACAATGGGTGGCTTTCAATGTAAATAGCAGCCTCTTTCCACCATTACAAACAGTTGCATGCATACACAATGAATAGCAGAAATATATCAAATATACCCTATACGGCCTAGGACCCTCGTACCTATGGGACCGTCTCTCCTGGTATGTCCCACGAAGGAACTTACGATCTTC